TCAAACTGTATATGAATAGATAATTAAATGAGCTAAAAATACAATCCCGATAAGTGGCTTGTAGCATATGCTAAAGGCTGAACAAAAAAAAAAATATATATAAATATTGTTGGCACAGCTTATTTGTTTTTTGTTGAAATTTACGGTAAAAATATTGCTCGCAACAAGACTTTTATTAGTATAAAAAATAAGGAAAGCCGGCTTCGATTCGCCAAAGAGTATATAAACAAGGACACCAGCTACTGGGACAGTCATTTTCGCTGACGAGTCCAAGTTTAACATACATACATATGTATGTATTTGGTAGGCCCTACATCTGGCGACAAGCGAATACCGAGCTGCAAGAGAAGCACCTGAAACCCACAGTGGAGCATGGTGGAGGGTCTCTGACGGTTTGGGCCTATATGTCTGTCTTTGGAGTTGGAAAACTAGGTTTTATTGAAAGCACCATGGATAAGAATATGTACTTAAACATTTGAAAGCAAAATCGTATCCAAAGTGCTGAAAGAGGACCTATATTTTATTAGGACAACGACCCTAAACACACATCGTGTGTGGTTCAGTTGGGTTGGTATGGAACTGCCCGCATAACCTCAAAACGCCAGCAGTGTCCCCGGATCCTAATGTCATTGAAAAATAGTGGGCCATTTTAGACACCAATATCAGGTCCGGGAACATTTTCAACAAAAACGATTTGAAAACGGAATTAATGAAGAAATCTGTATTATCTCAATCTATGCTTTCCATCAAAATGGGATCATACAAAATATTAAATGTATTTTTATTCATTTTTATACAACTAGCCATAATTTTGAAATCACGGTTAAAAATAACTAATGGGTCAAATAAGCTGTCATTAAACTTATGAGTTATTTTAGTTTTTGTTTTTTAATATGAATAAGAAAAGTTATGTTGTAGATTAATTTAATATTGAAATAACAATTCTACGTTTTCATTTTTCAAAAATTTGTATTGGGTAAAAAGTAGCAGATGAAATTTTTATTTTTCGGTGGGTCAATTAAGCCGTGAGCTATTGTACATATGTGTGTGTACGCATGTAGTATATGTATAATAATAATAGATGTCACCGTATGAATACATTATCAAATAATTAAGCATATAGTAATAATATTTACTAAATTAAGCACGTGATTTATTTACGGCATGAAGATTTAAATATACAGAGAAATTCGCCTTCCGACTCACTCCTAAGCCGACATCTGCCCCTGCCGGGAAACGGAAGACAAATATTGCTTGTACTCAATATGGCATCTTTTGTAAGCTACTCTGCGCTATCGCTCAAAGCAACCCTGCATAATCGATGTCGCTTATTAACAATAGATATCGCTGTCCACGATGTTACAGCTTTAAGCGAAGGGAATTTAGCCGCTAGATGGTGCTGGATTACACTATAATAGAGCTTCAAGAACTGCATATATTAGAGCCATCTACCGGAAAATATATTAACTTATTCAATAATTAACTAATTTTACTGCTCTCTTTACAATAGAGACAGCAAGCAGTTGACCATAAATTAATGAAGTTTTCACAAATTAAAAAGAGGAGACAAATGCGTTCAAGCGTACGGAAAGGCACACACTGATTCAATTAACTCAGGTTGTCTCTTGGGTCAAAAATATATACATTTTATGGATTCTGATACGCCTCTTTATGCCACTACACACTGCTTGTTATCGCAAGCAACCCAAAATTGTGAGGTATGATAATGCATGTGTATATGTGGCTATAAATGCAGAAAAAGTAAAGAGTTTCGAAAGCCTTTCGATAAAGTTGAAATTTAATAGAATGTTTTCCAAAAATAAAGGAGAAAATAACTTCTCATCGGTAAGACTCTAGCCCGTGAAATTAGAACATGGCGTGCATCGACTCGGGCAGGGTGCACTGCTTTGAGAATAAAAATCAACTTCACGCTCGGTCACCACAGTCAAACATAAAATGTAAAGCAGTTGCTGAAAGAACAAATACTAATAAAAGGCAATGCAATAGAATTCAATAAATAGAAACAATAGATGGCGCTACGCACTTTTAATGGTTACACTTTGGCACTTTAAAATTATGTGAATGATTTCTCATGGGATATACAGCTAAGCTGAACAAATTCCATAAAGTAGCATGAGATTTAAATAGAAAATTAACAAAAAAAAATATATGTCAGCCTGTGTAAATGTTCTATAATCGTTAATATACATAAACTTCCTCGCGACTTGAACCTGGAGTTCAATGGTTGGATGCCATCGTATATTCCTCATATACCATACTACAGCAGCTGAAAATAAGTGATAAATTGATTAAAAATACAAAATCCTTTAGATAGTGTCACTGTAGTTTGAAGAATGCTCAAATTTTATTTCAGACCGTAATAATCGCATTGAATTGCCTAAATATGCCAAGGCACAAGTCCCTAGTATTTGTTCATTTTTAGGGAGGGGTATGGTTGTTGGGGTGGGGGTAGATTATGTTTATTTACTTATTATGTATTTATATTTAAAATTTTGAGGCTCTATTTCTCTGATTTGCGATAAGGTTCTTAACCAATACCAAAAAACCGGGAGTAGTTTTCGATTTTATGAAAGTAAACTCGATGTACGAGTGTAACACCAAGGCATGCAAAATATGTTTAGTCTCAGATCTTTTATCTTCTGAGATCGACGCCTTCATATATACGGACGGGCGGATGGACAGATTTGATTTACCATTTTCGATGAGTTCAAGGTATAGCAAAGCTATTAAGCAAGTAAGCTCCCACGGTAAGCCCACATTGTGTGAATGTCTATGTGCTGTTTCTTGTGTAAGCAGAAAAGGAGTCCGAATTATTGAATTATCAGTTCCTGGAAGAGATCAGCGGATCTCGTAGTCGAGCAGTCTCGTCTAGAGCTTTCTTACATGCTTTTATCTGAATAAGTGTGGGAATAAATGTTAAGCATGTTGCTTGACCTTCAAATGTCCACACATAATGTGATAAGAGCGAGTGGCACATATCGTATAAAATGTATGTAAGTACCCTGTATTCATTGAAAGAGGGCATTGAGAAGCTCTTACTAAATATATCTCTATATAAACTGTTTAAAAATATAAACTGAAATTTCGCGATAGTATTATGGGCTGCTTACGATTATCCTACCACTTCCCCACATAAGGTACCTTAATTTCCAGGGTAGACCCTAGTCGACTATACTTTGTGATCCTCACAAATAATTATTTCTTTTTCGTTTCGACTGATAAGCCGAAAGTTTCCCACAGTAGCGAAATAAAAATAAACCAATGAGAATGTTAGTGTATGCATGTATGTACATATATACATATGTATTTACTTGAATATGAAAATGCCAACTTGAACTATGTGAATATATAGTAAAAATATTTATATATGTATATGTGATAAGTTGTGTGGTTAATAGCAACAATAACAGTTAGAGCTGAGAGAAATACTTGAAAAATTAACTTTCGAATACTTATGTATGTGTGTGTGAGTGTATGGATGCAACAAGCTGCATGAATACCTATGGAACTCGAGTTGAGTCAGCCATCGCAATTCTCGCATACGTGCGGGTACTTCGCTCAGGGTGCTCTGTAAGCGGGCCTTTGTAAGAAAATTGTCAACTAAGAGCAATCAGTCAATGCAAATGCGAATCCCAATTCGATCGACTGGAACGTAAATCATAACTACTACATAGAAAATTTAGTTACAGACATTCATGTTGCATTTATGATAATTGTGATAACCGCACAGCCCAATCTGGAGCTTGATAACATTTATCGTTTTGCCTTAAAAAAAAGCGTAGAAATTAAACATAAATACGAGCACAAGAACTGTTTATTTAGTATAAAACAACAAAAAAAAGAATTGATAGGACAACTAAGAGAAAGATATAGGGACTGACAACAAGAGAGATAGGGAGGCAAGAGAACGAGAGAGGTAGAGAGAAAAAAAAGAGAGAGAGAGAGAGAGAGAGAGAGGAGAGTAAGAACTTGAAGAAGACAAAACAAGCTAAGGGCGAAGAGCATTAAAAAGAGCGACCGAGGCCAATTGGTCGCACAGAAGCAAATAAATTGGGCTCCACCCAATGGCAAACGGCTATGGGCTCCACGGAAAAAAAGCAAACACTTGCCTGAACCACCGTGACCTACAAAGCACAATCACAGGCGCACACAGACGCACACATGCAGACAGCGTCTAGCCAATCAGAATGCGTTAAAGACATAACGGTCTGCGCACAATGCACTAGCAACCGCATCCCGATTGGCTAGCGCTCAACGCCGACGCAGACGCAACGGCGAGAGAGTTGAACGAGCTCAGCCGTTGAAAAGACAATTGCTGAATAAGAGCGCAGAGTGCAGGCAGCACGCAGTTAGAGAGCGCAAGAGCGAGAGAGCCGTTGGAAATAATGTTCACAGCTTATCATAGCAGCAACAACAGCAGCAGCAGCAGAAGCAGCGGCAGCGGCAGAGTGTTGCGGCGGCTGTTTACTGTTGCTGCCGTCGCGCCGATAGTGATGACGATGAGTGAATTTTGTGCTCGGCTCGGCTGGCGGCTGTTCTATAGGTTAACTCGCCGCTGGTGGCCACGTTAGGTGTCAGTAACACTTTAGTTCGACACGCGGACGCACCTGTTTCTTTTTTTTTTTACATATTTTGTTTGTTGGCAATCAAATCAAATAGCAACAAAAAACCAACTGCACATGGCTCATTACGAATTTGCCATCGTGTGTGTGAGTGTGTGTGCGTGTGTGGAAGTGTAATGATTCATTAATTATTATGTATTAATTATTATTAATATAATTATTATTGTTGCAATATGAATTGGGCTAAACTAAAAGGCGCCAAACAGAAACTTTTTGATTAAAAAAAAAGAAACAAACAAAAAATTAATAAATACGTTAATCAAATCAAAATTGATAGGAATAAACATTTCAAAAATCAAAAATTTCTGATACTTTTAACGGTTAACTGTGCTCCAATTAGAAATAAATAAGAGATTAAAAACAATGCTCTTGTTGCTGCTGTTGTCAAATGACAAAGCACAAAAAAGAAAAAGCGCGAAAATGTAGTCGCAAATGAATGTAATGAATTTGATTATGACCTACGCATTTATGTGTGTGTTTATCTGTGTGTGCCTAATGTTGCAATAGCTATGAAAGTCAAGAGCTAAACATCCAAACAGCAGCAACAACATCATCAACATCAATAACAACAGCAAGATCAACAATAGTCGTCATCAAGTCATCGAGTGTTAATTTGTGACTAATTTTTTGTTTTGCCTGATTATTAAATAAATCAAAATAGAGAAGAACAACAAGAGCAAGAACAACGACAACCATCAGCTGCTGCAACCGCTTGAGGCATCAGTTATCGATCCGCAGTGATAACAGCAACGGCCACATAAACTGAAATTGAAACATAAAATTCTTTAAATAGAGAGAGCGAAGCCCGCACAAGTCACTTGTCGCTCGACAAATTGGCGCCGCAAAAAAAGAGGGAAAAAACACAACAACAATAATTGTTGATTTGATTTGAATTTTGACTTTGATTCAGTTGTTGGCGCCCACACCGAATGCATTTCCATTTGCCCAGCGAGGCGGCAACAGCAACAGCAACTGCAGCAACAGCAACAACGGTCGTCAGCGACCTCAACAGCTACTATACGGGCGCAATTGCAATCGAAACAGGAGCTGTCCCGGCTGTGGCACCAGTCAGCGGCAGCGTCAGCATCAACAGCAGCAGCAGCAGCAGCAGCATCATCGACGGCGGCAATCGCAGCATGGTCACATCATCAGCGTCGCCAACGGGTACGGGCTGGTCAGCGCCAGCGGAATATAAGAGCGCCAATACAGCTGTTGCTGCTGCCACCGCCGGTGGCTCAGCCGCTGCGGCGATCATGTGCGAGGTGTTGCCGTCGAGCAGTGCCAGTGTTGGCAGCAGTTCGCCAACAGGTGGCGCCAGCAATGGCACCGCCAACAGTGCCAACAGTGGCAGTGGCAATAAAATCAATATCAACAACAACAACAACAACAACAGCAGTAGCAACAACATTAATAATAATAATAATAATAATAATAATAGTCGCAACAATAACAACAGCAATAATAGCAACAATGCAGTGCATCAAGATTTGTTATGGATGGAGCGATTTGTGCTCGAACGACAACAGGAATATCCCGGCGAATTGGGTAAGCCGCATACAAAATGTATATATATTACAAAAAAAAAAAGGAAATGAATACACTATGTATATGTATAGTGCAGCGATATTAGCTCTTTGACTCTTGGTATATATTTTTATATAAATTATGTCAGTTAATCAGATTTTGTTGATATTTTTATTAAAGCATACACTTGATGAAACCTCTCTAATTCTATATATAATATATTTTAAATAAACATTTATTTGATCTTTTTTCCAAGATATTCTTGATACTCATAAAGGAAAATAAATCTAATTCATTTTTAGCAAATTTCTTGTATTTCAAATTCTTATTGAGGGCATCTACTTTCGTTTTTACCAATTGTAACCCCAATTATTCACTATATTTATTTTCAATCTACAAGTAAACAATCTGGATAGCAATTGATTTTTTTTTTTTTTTTCTGTTAGAGAAACGTTTTTGATATTATATTAAACTATTCATATATCTGTATATAAAATTTACCAATCCGCATTTGCTTATATTGCACATTTTGCTATCGACGCTTTAGCGCGTGGCCAGGATGACATTCATAAGATATCGAAAACTTCTAAGGCTTTAGGTCTATATCGATGTTCGCTGATGAGTAAAGTGATATCAATAATTGTTATTGATATCAACGCACGAGTCTTGGCTGCTTTTTTTCTGCTGCTTATTTTTTTTTTCATTTTTACTTTTTCCTCTTCGCCTTCTACTCTTGGCGCTCTTCTTTGGTAGAATATTTCACTGAAATCCATATATGCCTGCTCATATCAATGACCCATATGAAATCTCAGAGCTTGAGAAAATCATCCTGCGTGGAATTTCGTGAAAGATTACCCTGTTCCCTATAAGACTTGGATACATTTTTGGTCATTTGCTTTTGCTTTTTTTATTATTATTTTTTATTATGATTATGACAAAGTTATGGAAAGGTAGAAGAAGATGTCACTATCAGATACCTTGCAACAATATGTATGTAAATATATAATACCCGTAATTATGGTGTTGCTCAGCTAACGGTTCTGTAGAGACACTACTGTGAAGCTGTGACCTTAGATGTCAGATACCCTGTTTGGTTGACTTTAACTAAGAGCGAATAGCTACTACAAAATTTTGTAAAACAATTTATATTTTATAATTCACTAAGCACATAGATGATATTCCGCAGCATGTTATTTATATCCAAAATAATTTCTATCGAAACAGTCGTCCAAATAGTTTACAATTCCACAAAGCTTTATATAAGGAAATTAATGAAAGATATCATAATCTAGTCTGGATAATTCACCTCACTTGTTCACTGTCCAAATGCAGCAACATTTATTCAAAGATCTGGGAGCCACTTAATTTATAGGTCGATCTGTAGAAGAGCAGAGAATTGAATTATGCGAATTTAAATAGTTGGTGGAAAGTAAATGCCGCATTGGGAGTATATATTACTAAAATTTATGGAGCTATGAAACTGTAGAATATAAGATTTTGTGCGATTTACGAGCGCAAATTTATTTTGCATGTATGTATATCTATACTGTGTGTGTGTGTGTGTTTGTACGTATCTGTGTATGTACATATGTGTGCATATACATATAGATATATATTCTGAAATGCACAATAAATAATAAATTTGCATAAACTCACAGCAATATGTATAGATGTAACACAGAAATTCTCTAGCTTAAATACAAACTATTATATGTAAACTGTATACTAATTAATTCAGTATCAAGTTCATATGCCTGCTGTTAATGCAAATAACATGAGGGATAAAGGACGAACGGATGACATTACCATAGAAGTCTACAATTTATTTATTTAAAAGTTAGAGCTAGAACTTATAAGGCAAAGCACTGCGAACTGAGGCCCTCGGCTTATATGGAATATAAAATCGCGATATTTAGTAAACTATATATATGTTTATATATGCCACTATTACTATATACTACTTATATATGTATGTATGTAGAATCAAAAATTAAAGTCAAAAATGTTTTTTAGAAATCAGCAACTTCCGCATAGATTGTTCAGGCATCGATTGACTGACTGTCAGTTGCTGCGCCAGAATGGGGCAAGGTGCCAACTGGTAACTGTTAACCGTTGGCTGGCAACTGTCGGTGTCTTTCGCAGTGACCACCCACTAATTAATTATGAAGCGCCTGGTGGAACGGTTAATGCAGATGGAAATGATTGATGGTCAAATGCTGCCGCCAAATAACTATCAATTATTCACCGTATTTTGGAGAAATTATAAATGAATCCATAAATTGAAATTTACATTTTTGTTTATTGTTTATTTTTTTTCTGATTTTATTTTGTAACTTCTATTTGATTTAATTTTATTTATCATTCTGCATTGCAGTGCGCACCAGCAATCCGTACTTCCTCTGCTCCGCCCTGCCCTCCCATTGGCGCTCGAATAAAACTCTGCCGCTGGCCTTTAAAGTTGTCGCCCTGGCGGACGTCGGCGATGGCACCTATGTGACCATCCGGGCGGGCAACGACGAGAACTGCTGTGCCGAGCTGCGCAACTACACAGCCCAGATGAAGAACGGCGTGGCCAAGTTCAACGATCTGCGCTTCGTCGGACGCAGTGGTCGAGGTGAGTTCCAAAAGCAAAGCAAGTGTGGAAAGTGCTTCTATGCTGACATATATACGGCTTAGGATTAGAAATGGAGCCGAGGCTAGCTACCTCTAGCAAGTCTTATTGTATTTTTTTTCTCTGAGATAATAGTAATTTTGATTAATACTATATATATACAGTCGAGTCTCAATAGTGTGTAGCCCGCTAAATCGAAAATCGCGATAAATCGAAAAAAGTTCTGTTCTTGAAAAAAAGTCATTCTCAATAATTATAAATCGAATTCGAAACTCTACTGTAGGTTATTATATATATTATAGACAGTATATAACCCAATTTCAATGCAGGGCAATTTATCTACACTCTGTTGAATATTTGTATTAATTTTTATATTTAATTATATTTTTATTTTAAATATTATTCATGTTAAATTTAATAAAGTTCTAAGTAGATTTAAGCAAGGACAGACTGTTTTCTGTTCTTGTATATTATTTATTTCTTATTATTATTTTTTTTCGTCAACAAGACGCAGCTCTTACTTATTGTCAATAGATTTAATATATATTTCAGTTCAATATAACAAAGTTTAGCAAAATTTCATGAGCATTGGAACGTATATCTTTTACTATAAATACCTAAATTAAAGGCTTAAGGGGTAGACTGAGTTATTTCTATAGAAAAGGCTCAAAGTCGATAAATGGAATATTTTTAAAATTTGGATTATTTTCTTAAAATTATTACTTTTAGCAGCTTAAAATGTAACCTTTTTAAAATGTTTTTGGTCTCTATCCCTATTGATTATTGATTCGGATTGTAGGCCTCTGGGTATTTGCACCATCTTAGGTAGCTCGTGTATAAATATATTTATAGACAGTAGAATCCGGCTATAACAACACTGCGTCTTTACTGGTATAGCGACGAAAATTCTGGTCCCCAGACAACTTTTATGAGCACACTCATACGGTTATAGCGACTTCCGGGTATAACGACGGTCCCTTGAGTGACCGGAATACTATAACTAGACAATTTTCGTACCTACGTCTATCATAAAAATAAAGTTTGTGCTAAAACTCAATTAAGATAATTCAGATTATTCCTTAGTATTCTATATTATATAGAACTTCACAGTGCACCCCAGTAGATTCGTAGAGCAAGATATACGTAGAGTAGGGAACTCACATTGGGTTTCTCCATTTGACACATCTCAGAGGTGTGCTTCTGCATATATACTTTATTATACTATATTTTATACTGGATATACGGAAGATTACTTAGCACTGCAATAAGATATGTGCGATTTCCCAACTCTTTAGGTTCACTTTGTAAAGGAGAGATCAGGGGGAGGAGATAACCAAACGAATATATTCCAAAGATTAATTGAACGAACAACCTGAAGAGTTGTCCAAGTACAACAAATTTTACAATATCTTATAAGGAACATAAATATGACAGATGCACTTCAACTACAATCAACTATATATATATGTTGCTTAAAGCAGCGGAAGTTCCATTGATTATCTATGCATTCTACAATATAGAGCAGACTTTTTCAAGTGTATCCAGGAAAGTAGACTGATACGCAGATATATAAATCCAATTGGATATACTCTCATCAGATCACATCCAATAAGATTAGATAGTACCTCTGGAGACATAAACCAGTTAAAAATGTCAAAAAATGCAAACAGAAAATTAAAACTTCGTCCTTTTAATGCAAGAAAGACTTGCAGTCTTTTTGTCGGGCAACGTTTAGCAAATTTCTTATTCAAGAATCCAAATTTTGGCCAAGGAACGGAAGTTGTTGCTGGGAGCGGAAGTGCTTTGATTGAGCGAGTTAAGTTTGTGGCATCCGTTGCCCAATGCGATTCTGTACTTACAATCAGCTTTGTGATTATGGTGAATGGGTCCTAACACGCAGCAAGGATCAATGTCCAGTCGTCACATTAGGCGACTGATCGTGCTGCTGCTGTTGGTGCTGCAGTTGCTGCTGCTGTTGCTGTTGCTGCTGTTGCTGCAGTTTGCGCTGGCCCCGGGGCAACATGCAACAACTCGACAACAACGACAACAACTCGGGTCGACAGTTCGCGAATTCGGCTGCAGTCGGCTTGCTCACATGAATACCTTGAGCTCAGCTGAGCTGAGCTGAGCTGAAGCTGTTCTTTGGGCGTCACGCAATGTTATAATCGATTTGAACCCACCATTATAATACATAGGGATATGGTCATGAGCTGGTACTTCAGAGTCCCATTGCATAGAATTTTGCAGAAGCAGCAGCAGCAGTTGGCTAATTAGCTGCAACTGTTGCCTGCCTGACTGCCTGCCAGACGGCCAGCGCAGGCAGCCTGCATGCCTGCCAATTGACGGCTCGTGCCGCAAGGGGCAGCTAATAATTACTGCCACAACAGCCGAGCAACGACAACGACGGCGACAACGACGGCGACGACGACGACGGGCAACAGGCATGCAAATAACAAGCTAATGATGTAAGAATATAAGCGCTGACCAAATTGTCAACGACAGCCCCAGTGTCGTTCATTTAATAGCCAAACCCAACGCCCAACGCCCAATGCCCCCACGGCCAATACAACGAGTGCCAGAGCGAGAAAGGGATATAAATTGCGAGCCAGGACATCATGCGGTGTTTTCTGATTAAATGACAAAGCTCATTTCGTCCAGCAAACAAACAACATTCAAAGTGTGTGAGCGTTTGTTCATGTATTTAAAAATATATCTGTGTGTGTTTATGAATTTTTTGTTTTAAATACAGATTTTCGGACAAGCCTGACATTGTCACGCGTCATAGATTTATTTAACTTTTTTGTTTTCTTTTTTGGACCCTCCCCTTAAATGGTTTTCAATATTTGGCCAACAACATTGTTTGATCGCAGTCTGGTAATCTGGCAATTGTTTTTGGCCTTTATTAGACCGCCTATCTGTCCGGCCATCTCTTATCAGCCCTAATCTAATATCAAAGGACAACCAACCGAAAGGATTAAAAACGGCAAATGAGTGACACGCGCCGCAGCGATTCATCGCATAAGTCGCATAAGTTTCCTCTGTGCTTCGTTAATTAAAAGGTTGAATAAAAAACAAGACAAACGAAGCTGCGATTCATTGAAGGAATGCCAACTCATCCTCGATTGTACTCCAGAATTTCCCTAATAAGTTATGCAAGTTTACTAACAAATATTTCCACGTCTTGGTGGTATTATCTATGTAATATCTTTTATTCGAACATTACTCTCCAACTGAAAAACTGAAGAATATGTATAATGTCTGTATGAATAATTATGTATAGAGAATATCTACATTCTCTTTGCAATTAAAATTAAAATTAGTCATATAAACTAAATTAAATGAATTTCATCTGCTTGGCAAATCTCAAATAGGTATATCTATTGAAAACTAAGCGTTGTGAATGGATATGACATGAGACCTGATATTTGGAATACATATGTACATACATATATCAAAACTATTGATATAAATATACGCATATGTATGTATACTAATTAATATAAATTTTAACTAATACTATCTTGGAAATTTTAATACAGATGTATTTACAAAATTATCAACTCTATTATTCATAAATTACCTTAAGACTTACAGCCATAAAATTATGTAAGGGGCCGCTTTTATTTCCAAAGGGATTACAAATGTCAGACATATATTTAACTATTGATGGAATCGCATAAAAAGGAATGTTTCATAGATTTAGAGTTGAAATTTCAAAACTAGGTCACATAGACCAATTGATAAAAGTGTTATACTTATGACCATATAATACAATAATTGGGAATAATTATACCATTTGGTGAAACATTAGTATAATACATATATAATATAGTACAATTTAAGTATTATTATTATTATTATCATCCAGGACATCATGACAAGCGACAAATAAACAGTGCAAGAAAAGGCAAATTCATTAAAATTTGGGCAAACGTTCAATATATTTAATGGTAATAATATTAAATAGTAGTTGAATGGAAATCTTTCGCAACGAACTGAAACATACTAGAGTTACCAGAGTAGGTCAGGCTGTCGCATACGTGCAGACATAAATGGACAGACTTGTACATGGCTGGGACTGGCTCCATTTTGTAATTGATCGTCTCTACCAATTACTAGAAATTTGGCTCTGATGCGTTGCGTTGCGTTGCGTTGCGTTGCGCTGTTTGGCTGGCCATTGTTCAGCTGCGGCTGATGCTGATAACTCATTTAGGTTGTTGCAGGCTTTGTTTTCCTCGCGATCGGAGCTGAGAGTGTCGAGAGTCGAGAGCGGCTGCTCATTATGATTTCTATCATTGTTATTACTATTATTATTATTTGTATTATTATTATTATGCATTATCATTTACATTGGGTCTTTAGCGGTCATAAGTAGTGCCATATTTTATCCGTACAACAAAAGGCAGACGCGTGTTCGCTTGTTGAGTTGCGGCTGATTGCCTTGGCTTCACTGCTCCAGTTTGGGCCGCCTTCTGCCTTCTGCCTTTTGCCTCCTGCTCCCAGCCTGTGTCAGGTAACACAAATGCGTCGGTGCGCTCCATTGAATAATGACAACCAAAGAGCAAGTAAAGCCAAGCTGTCTAGGAGTCTCTTTAAAAGTTTTGGTATTCAGTTTGAATTTTGTTTATTTTTTTCTTCGGATTTTCGTGTCATTATGCTTTTGGTTTTTGTTTCTTTTTTCTGGAGCAGTTTGATTAATTTGGCTTCTTATTGCGATAGATTTGACTTTCAAACGCAAGCTCAACTCGAGCTAATGAAGACATTTGAAGCCAGCGTCAACGACCACGTAGCACGCCAATAGATCTAAATGACAGGGAGTCGAGAGTGGAGAGCGCTGATTGGAGAGTCGAGAGTCGAGAGTTGAGAGCGGCGAGGACAAACGCTTTCTAACTGATGAGCACAGTTTACGGGGCATATGCGAATGGTCATAAAAACAAACAGAGTTGGGTTAATGAACTCCAATATCTCTTAGCTTAGGTCTGTCCAGCTCGTTGGCTGAACTGTCCTTAATTAAATACCATTTTGTCGAGTTGTCCAAGAGCAAGTACCACTGCCACTGCCAGCCTCTGACCTGTCTTGCGTTGCTGCTGCGTGGGTGCACCATGCACTGCCCCACTAGCCCCATGGCAGGCGGGCGGGGACTATTGCAATGGATGCGACTGAGGTTTTGCGGTTGCCAGGAAGGATTGATTTTGGCTCTGTCTACGGCACCGAATTCGACTCTCTCCTCTCACTCTCTAGCTGTTGGCTGCCCTGCAACAAAGTAAAAACAATGTTGCTTTAGTGGCTATTTAAATATATAGTATGAATGTGTGCATAAACTGGCTACCTGTGCGGCTTTCAGTCGGCAGCCCCCCTCTTGTCAGGCACTGCAAATATCTGTTCATTAACCACCGACAACAAGTCAGAGTGCTCTAGTTGAAACGCCCTGACTAGCAAATACCCTGCATCCTGCGCAGAGCTCGAGGGTATGATGTGTAAACTGCTTAACAAAATTGAGCTTACTAAACTTAAGGCTAGACAGTGTGGGAATATATTCACAATAGACTTATGCATCTAGGAGGTTCCTTTAATCGATCTATTGGCTTTTTGAGTAAAATATATCACATTTAAAGTCTCTAGCTGTATATAGAGGGAGTTAGACTGATAAATAGATATATCTTGTTGATCTTGGCGAGGCACGCCTGCTTCGGCGTGCTTACTTCATACGTATGCACTAAACCAATATACCCTGTATGCACAGCGGGTGCAGGGCATGCGAAGGGGGAATGGATTTATTAAATTTACAGTCAGAGCGCGCAGCAGAAGCGGCAATTAATGCGTATGCCATAGCCAGTCGAAAGTCGAACAGACTCCTGCGCCCGATAATCGATTACAGACTGCGGTTGGCAAATCGATAAACTTATCACCGTTCCGAGTGCAGCGTGCAGCGTGCAGCGCTTACCATTAGACCAGACGATGCGGCGCGTCGCGACACCCGCTTCGACCATAAACAGTGTAAACATGGTCAAGCCCATTCAAAGAGCACAATGTTGCCCCGTTTCGCGCGCCCAGCCGACAGGTTTCAACAATTTTATGGCGTTTGCTGTTCTTGCTGCTGCTGCTGCTGTTGTTGTTGTGCTTGTTGTTGTTGCTGTTGTTGCTGTTGCTGTTGTTTGTTTGTAGCCATAAATGCGGTGCGGGACAATCGCTTGGAGGTGGCCATCAAGGAAGGATCAACAAAATTTATGTCGAGCTCAAACAAATTGCGTCATACTAAAAAAAGAATTAGCTTAAAGTGTCAAAGTTAAAATAAGCAAGCCGATGCGGATATACCCTTGTTCACTGACAGATATGTATGTATGCGGATATAGATATCGACTTAACTATACAAAAGAGTGCAGAAAAAAAATTGATATGGCAAACCATAGGCTTTAGGTAAAGTTAAACTTAACTCATATGTAGAAAACTATAAGCATCTCGAAAATCACACTGTATAGAACTGTTTTGAATTAAGTATACATATTTACAATTCGATTATACTAGCGATTCTAAGAACTCTTTTAAAATATTATCCAAAATCAGAGATTCTTTAACAAGTGCCCAACGTAGTTGAGAATTGCAAGAGCTTATAGCGCATCGAGGGCGGTCGACAGCAGACAATTCTAAATACATTTTGGGAGGAGCTGAAAATTGATTCGGTAGCCAATTAGCTGTCTCGTAAATCAATATACGACTTTTAATACCCAATGTTTCTCTTTCGCCCTTCTCAATGTTACAGGAAAGAGCTTTACGCTAACAATTACCGTTGCAACAAGCCCGCCACAAGTTGCCACCTATGCCAAAGCCATCAAAGTGACAGTGGACGGTCCCCGGGAGCCGCGCTCCAAGATAAGTAAGTAGCACGGAATCTAACTGAAACATAAGCACTAGCCGCACAGGCGAGTCGGGCTCAGGTCACACGCTGGGTTTTGGGTCTTAGGCCGCATTAGACAAGTGTCTAATTGATGTAACTGGCTTAAGCCATATCGGCCAATTGCACACAATGCTAATCACTCATAATCCTCGTGGAAGTCGAGAGATTAACTTCAGCCTTCTGCCCTCAGGCTTCTGCCTTCTGTTGCATGCCGTCAAAATATTTGCGTCAGATTTTGACTTGAAAATTGCTCGCAATGCGAGATCTTGTAAAGAGAGCGCCGCCATTTTATTTCGAAGACCCTCTTTTTTTTGGAAGGTGTTTGAAAAGTGCAGCCGGTTTGCCAACACACAGATGGACACAGGCAGATAGACGTACGTAGGTATGTACATACGTATATGTATATCTCAACTCAAGTCATCTGAACTCAGCTCAACTAAACTGAACTGAACTGAACTGGGCTGAGTTGAGCTGAACTGAACTGAACTGCATTGCTTCCTACGGTTTCTGAAAATATTGCGGTTTTCAAAGAAAAACCTTTTTGCAAAGGCGGCAACGATGTCGTATTGAGTGTGTGTTTTCTCTCTCTCTCTCTCCCTCTCTCTCTCTCTCTCTTTAGTTTTGTGTAATGCATATGCGAGTATGAATTAATTTTTTCTTATTTTAATATTAATTTTTTTTGTTAATGCATTTTTAGGTCTTCACTGGCAATACGTACTCTACATACGAGTTAACTTAAGTATATGCATTATAAAATATGCTGCGGCTTTACCTTGAGTATGTGTTCATTCCATACGAACGAACGAGCGAGGGTGGAATGAGAAGTTAGGCGGTAGTGTTACAATAAGGATGCATCAGTAAATTGTTTAAATACGAAATTTTCCTCTAGAAGCGATATTGCTTCTATAGATAAGACATGTGAGCTGTGCTCGGTATAGTATTGCTGCGTCTTTAGCTCCTATAAATTTCATACTCTGCTACAGGCTAGCGCACTATAAGACTTTAAGGTCTATCAACTAGACTGACAGGCAGGGCGACTTGACAATCGAAATATTAATTATGAATTCGAAGTCTTATGTCACAGCGATTTATGTTCAGATATCACATAAACTAAGAAACCTAACTTTTGACTGCTCAAACTAGCCCTATGTCCTAAAGGTGCTAACGACGACTGGTGGTGATGTCGAGAGGCATAGCCTGCCACATTGTTGTTAACTGAAGTGTTGCCAATGTGCGAATCATTCGCAGACATCGCTGATCTTCGGTAGTTATCATGATGATTGATCGACTGGACTTGACCCATAGTAATGCCAGAATAAATCTTGTGACCTCAATGAGATGACAGATCTAAATAATTGCTCAGATGACTGAAATTGTTTCGAATTACTAATCCATGTATTGTTAAATGCATCAAATATCAATATATATAACATATGCAAATTCTCTTGCCGTATTGTGCAGGTTCAACCGGCGGTCCGCAGTATCGTGCTCTCGGCCTGGGCCAGCGACCATTTATAGACGGCTTCCCGAAAACATTTCACGAGCTGGAAACGCTGCGACACTCGGCAAAGGTTGCGGCTGCTACAACGGCAGCGGCGGCTGCTGCGGTGTCGGTTGCATCGGCTGGCAACGCGCTGACCACAAACGCGAGCATTGCCCAGCAATTGGGTAGCAATTACTCATCGTCAAATAGTACAATAAATTCGGATTGCCAGGGCTACAAGCCTAACGCACCACAAATTCAAGGTAAGACATGGTATAGACCCAAAGAGCCGACCCACTCCCCAAACCAAGTTTCCACTCTCAAGGAATTTCTTTTTAATGAACGTAACGAGTCTTAATGCTGACTGCATTTGCTTCCGTGACAATGTGTTACTGTGATGCCTGCGTGCGTGTGTGTTTGTGTATGTGTGTGTGTTTGTGTGCGTGTGCGTGCACTTTATTAGATGGTCAAGAATTTGGTCGATTCGACTGGCACCAGGCGGCCTAAACGTTTTAATTGAGTTAACGAACGGCCGGTCGCAGACGCAATCTCAGTCTCGATTTATTTTTAGTATTTATTACTTATCTTTTAACATAATGCCGCTAATTTATTTATTTTCCTCCACGAAACTTAAAAATAGTTCAACCCCGTTGATATCGATCATTGTCGCTAGGGCCTCGCCTCTCGCCCTACCTTGCATTGCCGTGCCTCCACTACATAGAGTATAACTATGCTATAATGGTGCTTTCATTTAAATAGTTGAGTCTGTGCCAGAGAACTGAGATTGCGCTTTATACTAGGTATACAGCGACGCGCGCAGGTATTACCCAGCGCAACTCGACTATTCAAATACTTTGTACTCATTATAATAGTCATTTGGAAAACAACCCTATCTACTCTAGTCTCTGGTTTCATTTGAGTCATCCACGAATATCGATACCATTTAAGCGGGAGGAGTTATCGATCACTTGACCTAAATTCGATCTACATGAGCTAGACTACATAAGTAGATATTTTCTTTCCCCTAATAGAGACGCAAACTGACTTGAGATGTCGATTGAAATAAAGCTTTAAGCCATATATCGATACATACTGCCAATCGATATCATAAAGGTAGTTGATCTCTTTACCACAACTAAGAGTATAATGCTGGAACCTATAGACTCTTGATTTTATGAGCTACAGAAAAGCTTTAAGTAGACTATAGCTTTAAATGTTTGTTAATACTAAGAAAACGCGACAATTTACATCTTATCTTGCTATAGTAGATAGGATTCGCATATGAAGTAGCTGGAATTGGAAGCAAGCCTCTCTAGTCAGAGCATGCTGGCATACATATACATACATATATACATACATATGTATTGAATAAGACAAAGGCACGCCGTCAAAGATGTTGCGTACTAACCTTAAGCTTTAAGGCATATACATATATGACATATATGCTTGCCTATGTATGTGTTTGTGTATGGGTGTCAATGTGTACCAAGATGTGATAGATCAGAGTGCAGAGGGTATGTAAATATACGCTGATTCCAGAGCCGCATCAACCTAAAATGAGGCAAAATTATTGCTATTTAACAAAAGTTGAGCAACTGGCTCACAGAGTGGGGAGCTGAGAGAAGCTGGGGAGCTCGGGACTGGGGACTGGGGACTGGACCGGCACTGGTTATGGGTATGGAGGGCTGAGTCATTGTGGTATGAGTCAGGGGCTAGTTGAAACCTAGACGAATGTGAAACAGAAACTCTGATACGGCGACTAAGTGTTGCTTATGCTAATTAATTTATGATATTTTTTTTTCTTTTTGCATTTTGTGTGCCACCAAAAGAGAATCGCGTCGAGACGCGGCTCATCGAACTGCCCAATTACAATAAATATGTATGTACGATGCGAATAAAGTGACACATCGATATCGCCGTCGTCGTTGTTGCCTGTTAATTGTCGAAAATAACAACAACAACAACAACAACAACAACAACAGCATTCGTGGGGCATTTGGCAGTGCAATCGATTTCGTTATGTTTGCTTGCTAAAGTAAGCCAAAACCGGAAATGCCCCAAACGTAGACTTAAAATCCCACAGCGCGTTTTTGGCCAACGCTTCGTGGTTGATGTATACAATATGCACATATACCAGCATACATACATACATTAATATACTATGCATATACAAGTATATACATATGTATATATGTATGTACATTCTGGCTTTTGTTACTGTGAAAAGGCTAAGCCATTAATATTTTAATGTGGCGCTTAAATTGTTAATTTACGCATATTGATAGCTTCGCTAAAATCGCTGAGCTTTTTTTGTTAACGGAAATCAGTGGGAAATTCCACGAAACGAAACGAATCTATTGGAAACCAAAATGATGAATTATAATAGTTTAAACTGGCCTTACAATTGATATCGATAATCGCAAATGATATGATAGAAATTTTAGCTACATATATGTGTACATAACTATATATGTATGTACATGTATGTATACACATTTGTTTGACATAAATGAATATAACATGCAGTTAAAATGTCTACATAAGTAAATATTTTCCGATTTTCCCTGATCTATTGAACGCGCCAGGTAATTATAGGTCTAACTGTGAAGATCCCCTGGATTTGGACGATTTAAAGCTCTCGAATATAGCTGTATATTCAATTTAATTTTCAAATATGTGGGTTTCGTTGATTTGCCCCGCCCTTCAGGGGAGATTCAATTATACATAATTTGTATTAAACCGATACAAGAGGTCAACAGCAACTTGGTTGTTAGCATAATGTTGATGCCACAAAGAGTTTTGGTAGATAACGCCTCCAAAATAGCGTATTATTTGTTGGCCCCAAATTGGGGTAGATATGTATATGTATGTGTCATTTTTCGGTCGATCTATAAAGAATCTTAACAATACCTCAGGTGCCAAACGAAAAACGCTTTGGTCGAAAGTGCACGACTGGTAAATACCCTGTGCCCAGCTGAAAAGCCCTTGTTTTTATCTAAATCTACATACATGCATATGTATACATATATAGACACATATATACTCACATACAGATGGCTTATTCAGCGTCTACGGCTGCTATTCAAGCCACCCTCTTCACTATGGAAATTGATGATTGAATAAGTTCGGTTTACGTGTAGAGTTTTCGGAGCATAAAAATTACATCTAACGAAACTTGGAGCTAAAGTTTCTTCTAAGTCATCGAACACACTATGACTATGACAACACAGCCCTCCTGTTGCCCTTGACGTATATTAGCACAAAAATAAAAGTCTTACGCATTTTCAATGGAAACTCCCCCAAAAAATTGAGAATCGAAAGAACGGAATATTCGAAAGACTCTCTGAGCGGACCTCTTACAGTATTCCTTCAAAAAACTCTCAAAAAGAACACAAAGTTTAAATTTATAATATAAATTGCAAATAATATAAAAAAATTTTTGTTTATTATTATCAGTAAATCTTATTGTCTTACATTCAGTGTTCATCGCCGTACTATTTCCATGAGCACATCTATATTCAGTATATATGTATAGTTCTCAAAATATTTTATCAGCTCATGATAGTACATATATGTATGTATGCATAGCTTATATATGTTATACGTAGTGGAAAATTATCTTGAGCATAGTTTTCACAGACCCATATACACAGTAGATTTGTATAGAACCGCAACAGATAAGGATATTCCAAGTCAGCTTTACAAATCTTTCTTTGTTTATGTCGTTTCTTAGAGTTTTAAATGAATATATATTTATAACCAACTTTAAAATATAGCACTGGCAACTGGGGACTTCAAGTGTGCTTGTGTATGCATTTAATTTAGTTTGAAGCAATTGAATGGCTTCATGCTTGGCATTTTTTTGTTCTTGATGCTGGCCGAATGCGTGGAATATGTAAATGCACATCTGTTTGGATTTCCAGATCGATGGGTCGAGCGGCGTGCTGGAGTTTAGCACTTATTTGGAGCTTTTTTTTTTTAAACTTTATTTTAGTTTTTGCCGAGTGTGTGTGCCCAAGCCACAAATCAATCCAAATGCGGTTGCGCAGCTGTTGGCTATGGCCGAGGCAACACCAACACTAACACCAACACCAACACCAGCAACAACAGCAACAACATCCAACATTGAAATGCAAATTGCAAACTGCAAACTGCAAACTGCAAACTGCAAACTGCAAACTGCATGCTGTAAGATGAACATCCAGAAATGCGTGCCGTGTATTGTGTGCTGGGTAACAGTAAAGGCGAAAGAGCAACGGCAACAGCGAGAGCAACGCATGCAAAAACAACAAAAATGTCAACCATCGCACATTGAAATGAAATCTTTTTGGCCCATAAAACGCCAACTGTGGCCAAGTTGGTTCGCCACCAAAACCCAAACCCAAACACAAACCCAAGCCCGGACCCAAACCGCAAATTCACTTCCGTTTCGTGCCGTTTGTTGTTTACAGCAACGTTGCACAGCAAAGTTGCTGGCACTTTTTTTTCTTCTTTTTGTTTTTGTTTTTTTCACCATCCGCCATTTTGCACGAAGCCCGAAGAGGAGACTAAGCAGTGCCGTGGAGCCACTTTAATTAACAGCAATGGCACTTAGCCACCACCTGGCGGGTAGCTGGTCGCTGCTCGCTGGTCGCTAGGCACTTGTGTTTCGTGTCTGGAAGCTCCGCTCTGCTCTGCTCTGCTCTGCTCTGCTCAGCTCTTCTCTTGTCTGCTCCTTAATGAGCTACAAGATGGCGCTGACAAACGAAAGCTGTGAGAACCTGAAACGGGGTCGCTGCCAATCCGAGCCCGAGACCGAGCCCGAGCCCTGGGCCGGAGCTTGAACTGCTGCCCAATGCCCTGCTGACGGCGATTATTGGCCAACTGTGGTTTTATAATCAGCTCGCCGAGTCTCTTCTTCTTCCCCTTCCTCTTCCTCTGGCACTTCCTTATGCTTGATTGCACTCGAAGCGGATATGAAGAATATGGCCAAGGAAAATCGCAGATATCCGGCCAGCCAAACGAATTACTCATTGATTTGCGCAACTTACGCCTCGACGAATAGCTCCGACTGCAAGTAACGAGGGAACGTGTTAATATCTTAAATTAATATTGAAGAAAGCGAGACTCTTTCAATGTAGACCTGTGATAGGTGAGAAAGGCTTTTGAGAGGAATGCTGCTAAATGAGAGACACTGGCCGTAAGCCTAGCCTATAGAAGTCATATGATTTATTATAAACTCAAGTAATGAAAATTAACCTCATCGCGAGATTCCTTAGAGTAAACGTTTTTATAGCAGTGGAACTAAATAAGCAAGAATCAGTCCATACTTTTCATCGATTTTAATATAAAGTTCATATTTAATCCCATGACGTCAATGCCAAATACATATTTAAAAAAAAGTATATATTATATTGTCTATAAGATATCGACTTTTAAGAAATATATATTTTTAATATGGTCTGCGTATTTCGTTAATTTTACTTTAACTGACAGGAACTCTCCATATACAGACTAGAATATACACCATAACCCTGATAGACTTATATATGATAAGAGTTGAACTTTTCCTTTCGAGAATGCCAATGGTAATATCTGCTAAAGTGAGCTATTTATATAAATAAATACATAACAAATCGCGTTCTGAAATGTCCACGTCCACGCCTTTGGTTGTTTGGAAAAAAATAAAAATATCTTTATAAATAATCCCAATCCCGCGTGAAAGTGAATTGAGGATATCTCAAACACAATTCATTATCAATTTAACATTCTTATAGTGGATATATCTATGCCCATGGAAAACCATATTTTGTAATGTCTTAGAGCTAGAAAATATTCGAAATTCAAACTGTTTCACTTTATACATCTGACACATTTGACTATGCTTAAATTATGTATTCAAGTACATACATATATTATGATATTGTAGTATATGAATTTCTCCGCGCGTGCCTATTATAGGGAAGGCCAATCCAATTGCATTGCGTATACACAGCGAGGCCGCAATTATACTCAATGCAAGTGACATTAATGGAGGCTCTAACCAAGGAGCAAATAGCGTAAAATGCGTGTACTTGCCCCTGCCACTTACCCCTTGCCACTTGCCCCTTCCCGTGGCACTAGCTTTCCTGCACGTGCCTGGCCGAGAGGCCTGGGTGAGGGCAGCTTGTCCTTAGCCAAAGTCATTACTCGTTATGCGTCCCAGACAGTTTCGCTTCATTGCATCTCCCCGGCGAGCCGTTGCGGTAGTTGGGTTGGGCCCTCTGATTGCCTCGGCTTTTGTGCCAGCAATGCAATTTGCGCCTTAATTGAAACAATAAAATGTGATAAGTGCCGGGTGAAAAGTTTCTCGTATGCAATTTTCTTAGCCCACTCCCCCCGCTCCATTCAGGCCAAAATACACACATCAACTGCACAGAAGTCGGGAATGGGACTGGGACTGGGAATGGGAATGACACGAAGATTGCAAATTGCAAATGGGCCGACCATTGCGAGTGGCCCTTCAACAGGTCAAATGAATGAAATCAAGTGTAATTACTCAAATCAATTATTTATCAAATAAACTCAAATACTTTTACTACATTTACATTTGTATTTTTACTACATTATTGCATTACGTATTCATAAACAAAATATATTATATATCAAAAAATCAGAGCTACGGAAACCGTGATAAAAGTAAATCGAAGCTAATTTCAATTGAAATGAGGTCAAGAGTCGAATATTAAAATTCCTATTATATTTGAGATAAAGCTACTATAGTATATACTCGTATAGAACAGTCCGGGATAAAAGTTTAAGGTAGTATATAGAGTGATGAATAATTAATGATATTTATTTATTTCGTTTACTTACTCAATACTGGCCGACTTTTGACAAATGGTTTCCAATATATGATAGTAAATAATATATATAGTATAAAGAGTTTATTAAGTATATAAAGTATATATACCTTCGATTAGAGCCTTGAGAAAATTGTATCTTCTTCAATGTCTACGGCTGTATCTATGTATATTGTATCTATTACTAGATATACAAGTGTATCCTATTACATATATACTGTATCTTTAAATATATCTTTTCTGTATCTACAATCGATTTAGGCTTAGATCAACACGGTCCAGTTTCTTCCTTCAGTCTTTGTTCATACATGAAGTATCAACTCGTCAATCTTTCTAAGGCCATCTGTATACACAGGTAGTCTTGTTTAGGTGAATAGACTAAAGATTGACCTATATTCAAAAATATTCAAAATTTAAATCAATCAAAGCATTTCCGAATAAAATATGTACAACGAATCCACTTAGCATAGGTGTAAGCGCCTAAATATTTGATAAGAGGGGTTTATCTTAGATCATATAATATACATAGATAGACAGATATATAAATGTATATTGTGTTAGCTAGCCCGATCCCAAATATGGGAAGCTCGGGCAAGCCTTGTGTTCTGGCTTTAAGCAAAGTTCCGTCGTGTTGTTGTTGTCAGGTGTAATTAGTAGAATTATTTGCTTTCATTGTATTAGTAGATTAGGCAGGTAATAATTGCGAATAGTTGACTTCGCACGGGCGGGCGCTGCTCACGGACTCGTGCCCTGTGCCTAATGAATTTGATTAATTAAAAGGCATATTTGGCCCAGCTCCTTTGGCTGGCTCATGGGATACTTAAAGTTCTGTTTCTTTTCCTTTTGCTGGGCCCGCTGGCTTACGTAATTAATCAAAATATGCGCGCGACGTTGTGTCAAATATCACTGATGAGGCAGAGGCAGAGGCAGAAGCAGAGGCAGAGGCAGGATAGCAGGATGGCAGCGAGCCAGGGGATGGGTGGCGACCACCCGCTGCTTTGTCGTAGTTGCCCTGGGCATGCCTTGGAATTTTCTTTTGCTCTGCCAATTTGTTAACCCCTTGGCCATGTCGCCAGGGGTGAAGGGCGCACACACACGTGGGTCGCGCCGCGTCGACGTATATGAAATTATTTTTCAATTATCCATTCCGCCTGTCGCCAGCCACGCCCACGCATGTTTGTGACAAGTGCAGCTGTGCGCCGGGACATGGGGATCGAGTGGAAGTGGGGAGTGGGGAGTGGGGAATGCTCTCCAGATGGGGGCTAGCTTATAAATTGGCTTTTTGTCAACTTGCTCAGCTCGCTGCTAACCAACTATTTCTCTTGCAGAAACCGATCTGATAGGCGCCGCTGAGTGGACGGGCTCGGCCAGCTCCGGTGCTAACATCGCGTATCCGGTGGGCGTCGGAGTGGGCGTGCCCTATCATCATGCCCACCACACCCACTCGCACTCGCACTCGCACTCGCATTCGCATTCGCATAGCCACGCGGCGCACCACCATCACCACCTGCAGCATCAGGTGGCGCTCCCACCCCCACCCCCGCCTCCGGCTGCTGCTCCGGTGCCAGTGCCGGTGCCGGTGGGGACGGCGTCGGCCATGAACCACTATAGCAGCGCCATGGGCGGCTACGAGACAACCACGCTGGACGCGGCCAACTACCACATATCGACGGTGCTTCCCGAGATGCACGGCTTCTCCGCCGACCCGTATCAGACGGCCGCGGCCAGTGGCTACTGTGGCACCAGCTCCAAGTCAGATCTAGAGACGCTCAACGCCAGCTACGGAGCGACGCCCACGGCCTACAACAATGCGGCGGCCTGGTCGAATGGCTACAACAACTACCAATACGGCAGTTGCTCAGCAACGGCGGCCCAATACGGCGGAGCCGCTGGCCATGCCACGGCGCCGCCGCCTCCTGTCGTGCTATATCCACAACTCTACTCAACGGTCAACCAGAACCAGATACATCTGCACTTGCACAGCAGCGAGAAGCTGGAGCAGTACCTGGCCACGGACCAGCAGCTGACGATCAGCTCGCTGGCCAGCAATCGCTCCAGCATCGAGATTGGCTTGGGCACTGGCCTCAGCGGCGGCGTATCGCTCGGCGAACAGGACCAGCAGGCGGCCGTTGCCATTGCCGAGCAGGCGGCCGAGGGCGCCAGCCAGAACAATTATCATTTGCATCATCATCATCATCAAGAGCAGCAGCAGCAGCAGCAGCAGCAGCTCGAGGCGCAGCGGCAGCTGGAGGCACAGCACCAGCAACAGCAACAACAACAACAACAGCACCAGCAACAGCAGCAGCAGCATCCAAACGATGTGAGCAATGAGGCGGCACGCGAAGAGGATGTCGGCGATATGACGCAAGTCTGGCGTCCCTATTGACCCGATCTGATGGCAGGGCCACTCCAAAGAACACGCGCCTTTCTGCACATAGAACTGAACTGAAAACCAAAATGAAAATCAAATTTGTGCGTGTATATTTTCTACTCTTCTTCTTCTTCTTTATGTTTTTATCTTGCCTATGATATTTAGCACGATGCAGAAATCATCTGAACATATTCGAATATCAAATATGAACTTAAAATTTTTTTTTTTTTTTTTTTTAACATACATAGATCGATAAGAACTGTAAATAGTTTCCATATAAATAAATATATAATAATTGTATGTATTGGTATGGCGCACTAAACATTTATACTAAATTCTTAGTATGTACAACTAAACTCTTAAGTATTTTTTTTTTATAGGCTTAAGTGTAGATTAGTTGCGTCATGTGGCAGAGAAATGTCCGATGCGATTTTTGTTATTTTGTGTAAGTGACGCCGAAGCAACGATGGAAGACTATTAATAAAGTTATCGTATTTATTTAAAATAAAAGAAATGCAAGAAAGAAGCACACAATTTATTAAGCAACAGTCCCAGAGCCAGGCCCCCTCTCTTGCCTCATGGGGGGGGGGGGGGGGGGGGGGCCAGGGAGAAAAACAAAGCACAAAGCCTAACCACACTCGAATGGAAAACAAAGAGGTAAAAATACAACTATAACTACAGTTAATTATGCACATGCATTAAACAACAACAATAGCTATAATAATAACAACATAGAAAAACATCAGCAACAATTGCGAAAATCATGAATTTTATCCGAAGCCTTAAGAGTGAGTGTTAATAAATTATGATTCAAGCCAGAGCGAAACACACACATACTGACACACTCTTAGCCACTTAGATTTGGGCTACCAACTACAGTTCCCTTGCTTGGCTTAGCTCCCTAACTCCAGCTTCATGGATCATCATGGGTCGTGCAATGTGTTTTTTTTTTCTCTCTCTGTGTTTCTGCGGTTTTGCCATAGCATAAATAAATTGAACACCCCGCCGCGGTTGCTACATCCGAAAGATGCAAAATCATAGCCCCCTCCTCACACGCCCCTTCTCATATGAGGACTGTTTGTGCCAAATGCAACAAAAGCTGAGCTGCAAATCAAGCCGGTGCAGTCAATTGTTAAATTGCAAAAGGCAATGCCATTGTCGGCGTCAAAACTATGCGAAGCCCCCCCTATATCGGATTAAGAAACTGTGGAAACTCTAGACAGTGCGAAATGCCCAATACCAGGTAGTGCTTGCTTGCTTGCTCGCTCCCTGCCTGACGGCCTGACGGCCTGGCTGGCTGGTCTGACTGCCGGCAAAGAAAGTAAGCCGAGCGTTAAAGATGCCGACGAACGACAATCGAGCGATCGAACGATCGAACGATCGAAGCATGCGCCCCCGAAAAGGGGCAAGCAGACAACAAGAAGCCTGACACACGCCTGGCTCAAGATTCAGTTGCAGCTGCAGGCGGGCAGCAGCCTCAGCTTCAGCCTCAGCCCTAGTCTCGGCTTGGCTCGGCTCGACTCGATTCGAGCCGTAGCTCAGCCCTTTGGCTCCAGGTTTTTAGAACGTGCACGTAAATGATCTGGCTGATCGTCAGTTTCATCGCTTGTCGCTTATACGAGTGCCCGAGTACATTCAATCAGCTTGCGGTGGCAGCGACTCAAGGCCCAGCGCAGAACTTTGTCAGCAGTTTATGATGTGCGACTTGAATTACCATCCGAAGTGGCTCGAATGCTCCAGGTCCAGGCTCAGACACTAGGCTATTGTTCGCAGTGGCTAATTAACTTTCAGCCGGGACTAAGACTCTGCTACAAGCATTGCCAGCCAGTCAGCCAGCCAGTCAGTCAGTCAGCCAGCCAGTCACTTAGTCAGTTAGCCAGTTAGCCAGTGTCTCGGCCAGTCAGCTGAGCTGAGCTTAGCTCGAAACTTGTGCGGTCTCATTGCCAGCTAGCCAGCTAGCCAGCTAGTCAGCTACCGTATTATTTAAGTAATATGGTCTCCGACTGGGTGGTCCCGTCACAATTTTGAACACAACTCGCAGTATAACGCATATTGATGTCCATGGGGCAAGAGCCATGTTTTTGAGTCAGCATAGTTTCTGGAATTCAGGTCTGGAATTCGCGATTAGAAGAAACCATAAATTTGCTGGACTTAAGCACAAAACAAATCAAGTTGACACTTTTGAAAAGCTTTCTCTAAAATATGTATTTATTTATTTTTTTTTTATAATATAAAACTAAAAATTTTCGTTCTTTTAAAACTAGACTCCAAACAGAAAATCTGAGAATCCAAGTGTTATGAATGAGCTACACACCATCACTACGTTTGGTAAATATCAATGTAAATGAAAAGTAAATTTTGAATACACACTGTAAGTCATACTCTAGAAAGATTCATCAGCAAGATTCATATTCAATAATATTTAATAGTTCAATATCTACTTGGATTTACCAGGATAATTTCGTCCGAAAACTGTATGCAGACAACATTATTATATTACCAAATTTTATTATCTTCAAAAAATCATACAAACTATTTCAATGAAATACAGAAACAATGTTGGATAGCTAGATTTTTGACTAAAACAATTTATTTGTCAGGCATAATCAATTTTGGTTTTACCTTCTCTTACTCTCTTTAAGAAGCTGAAGAATATTTGTTATATATTATAAATTAATATAATTCTTCTATATATTATATATTATTATACATTTTTGGAAATAAATTTGCTCAATAAGTAAAGAATGAGAAAAGATCACACAAAAAAGATTAGGAATTAAGACTAAAAGAATTTCGAAATATAGAAAAAAATATATATGATGAAGAAATGAGACACGTATAGATAAATAAAGAAACTATTTCCTCTAGCAAATTGCACGTAATTGCGAAATGTACTGGGTAAAATCTCGAATAAAAGCAGCTTAAAGTGATCTAATTGGGAATGCCCGACTGGGAAATACCTACACTGAGCACTAAGCGATTGAAGCAGAGATGGCACTAAAAACCTTACAGTATATTTATAAAAAGAATATGTATATATAAAATATGTATACAGGTCAATATTCAAATTGAAAACAAATTCTAAATTGTTATTTGGCTAACCAAGTTAGAGTCATAGTCCAAACGTATCTTACACTCAAAGACACATAACAATATGTCAAAACTATCATTATTGATTCCAAGCTTCTGCATATGTATGCATATACGTACATATATGTATGTATGTATATAGTAGGCGATTAAATACCCTTTAGCCCATTTAAAATGAGCCCGATACGTTTGCAATACTTTGTGCTCTATCTCGCTCTGACTCACGCAATGCAATTCCCAGTAACAGAAGCTTTCACAATCGGCACAATAAGTCCCCAACGAGGTGATGTAAAATATTATGCGTAGAGTGCGCGCATTTAACAACAATGAAACAGAGGAACAAAACCAAGCAAATAAAATGCTACCAGACAAAAAAAAATAAGAACCAACAACAACGAGCAGCAGAGCACAGGCAAAATCCAAGCTCCACCCACAAAAGTGCTCAGCAGTGCAAACAAAAAGAAACAGAGAAAAAAGCAAACAAGAAAGAAAAAGCAACAACAACAAATATCTTTAAAACACCTACAAAAGGCCCAGCAGCGAGTGCTGGCTGCTACGTTGCCACCCACCAAAGAGAGCGTCCGGCTAACTTCATGTCAGCTTGCGCTGACTAAGAGAGCAATGCAAGAGAGTCAGCGCTGATGAGAGAGCAGGAGGAAGCGATAGAATGAGAGAGAGAGGGAGAGGGAGAGATGTAGCAGCAGTCGGGGTTGATGCGTAACAAAAGGATTATCAACAAGCACACAGACACACACATGCATACGCACACATACATTTCACCTGCATAGCGTAGTCCAATGAGGAAGTTGAGAGTGCGCGTAATCAGCTGACGCACGTAATCAGCTCACACACACACACACACACACACACACACACACACACACACAAACACAAGCATTTGGTGGGTTCCAAAAGAATTAAGTCCAATCCTTAAGACAATTTGTGGTCTTGGGCAGACTATATGGTAGACAGAAATGCGTATTGATATTTGTAAAAATTTATTATATTATATTTATTAGTAGACATATTCATATGATATAAATGTATATATTATTAATAAATATCATATTAGTTTGTATTTACCTATGTAGAATGAATATTTACATTCATGTGTAAAATTAAAATTGCAATTCTCTTTGATACATTTATAAATTAAGAGGAAAAAATTATTTGTGAGTTTGGCAATGTTTCTTCAGCTGTTTATCTTCTTTATCTCATACGCAAAGTCCTATCATGTAATATTCTCTAAATATAGTTTAGCATTTCGAAAAATACAGTATATATAGATACCCGTTTAAGCTACTTTAAAAATATGCAGGCTACTCCCGTATAAAACGTGGCGCCAACTCGAGAAGAAAGAAATAAAGTGTATATAAGAAATAATGATTTACTTATACATATATATGTATATACAAATTGAAATGCCAGCAAACTAATTAATCTATATAAAATATTTGATATACATATACATATGTACATATATTCGAAGCAATTCGAAATTTCCCATTGAACAAGCAGCTGATCAGCTACAGCAATGCAGAGGCAGCAGAAGCAACGCCTCTAGGCGATTCGCTAGTCTCTTCGAAGAGAGCGAGAGCGAGAGCGAGAGAGAGAGAGGCACGCACAGAGTTGGAGAGTGAGAGCGCGTTTCTCACAGTTGACGAGTGTCTCATTAAGCGCTTATTCAGCAGGCGAACGCCGCGCAAGCTTCACTTGAAACTGAGCATGATTCACACTGGATCAGTCGCTTTTTGGCCAGTTTGTTGAGCAGCAGCCACAGGCCATAAGGCCAGGCCCTGCTGTCGCTCAGATATGCCTCAGCTCAGGCTGCCCTCCATCAGACTGAAAAAAGTAATAATAATTGTGAATACATAGAACCATAAAGCAGCACTCGATTGATATATGTATTTTATATATATGCATATATATATATATTTATTTACATTCATATTAGCCGTATTAAATAAGTGAAGTAAACTGGTTTCACAGCAGCCGTTTGGCTCTGACGTCGTTATCATCGCTGACGTATTTATCAATAAGTCTTCATATACGTGTCCAAGTATATACATACGTATATTATATATATTGGTATTATACGTGCATGCATATAAATAAATATGTATTTATTTAATTTTGTATGTTAATGTAAATTAATTAGGAGGCCGATTAAGACATCGGCCAACTGGGTTCGTGTTGAGTACGCTGCGTATGAGTAATATTTAAAGTTTTTTGATTTCTCATGACTAAGCATCGAGATTAGTCAGTTGCATTTCGGATCAGCTTATTTACTCAGCATCCATGACCAAAGTTTGTTTTTTATTATTTCTAAATAATTTATGCTGTACGGAAGAATTGAAAGTTATAAATATATAAATATATGCATATATTTT